AATCCTCCCCAATTAGCTAAAAGAAAAAAGGAAAGCCGTTTTGAATCCACAAAAAAACCTCGTAATAGTGGGTAGTACATAGAGGATCAACCTAGAACCAGTCAGAGGCATTAACAAAGGTAAGAATCTGGCTAATGCTAATACTGAAGATATCGCTAAGTGAGTTGAAGAAGGGGGTCCCCAGAATCTTAAACCTAGTTCTGGCCAGACCTGGGCAGAAACACAACAGGTGTTCTGGTGTCATATCTTCAAGAGCTGGTAGACACGCACTGCAAGTGGTACCACAGGGAAGGCTGAGTCTAGCTATATGTCGTCCCATGGACCAGTGTCCCGTAAACACAGATATTAGCCTAGACACTTCAGATTTGTTTCTGCAAATTAAGTCAGAGGTTCTATATTTGGAATAGATGCGCCAAGTAGCCCTTGACCTGGCTGCTGAGGCAGTAAGGGTCCACTCCCTATTTACCTGTCGCGAAAAATGGTCATAAATCAGCCTGCGCCCGTAGCTAGCAGGGGCAGGGATCGAAATACGATTATCCGTGGAAGAAGCGCCTTATTTAGCAAGCTCGTCAGCGCGTTCATTTCCTAGAATATTAGAATGCACGGGAACCTAGACTAGAGTAACCTTGGACCTCTCACTTAGTTCACTGATAAATTTCTTACATTCTTCTACTAATCTCGATGACAAACAGACTGCTGATATAGCTTTAATAGCTGCCTGACTATCAGTTAGAATGCCATAAAACATAATGAAGTAAAAATTGATTGAAAAACCGCCGCTGTGTTTTTTAATTTTCCTATCAAAACCTTTTTTTGCTTGAAATAGTTTAATTTTTTTGTAATCTATTAAAATTATGTGCATATGTGTATTTTGTTTATAGTATTCACTTTTATATTTTTACTTTGCAGTGATCAAAGCTCATCAAAAAATAATAATTTTAACTTAGTTTTCTTTGCTGCCATTTAATATTATCCACGAATGAAATGCGTCTGCATTTGAGCTATAACTTAATCAATGAACGGTAAAAGTTATATATTACAGATTTGAAAACTAAGTACGCACTAAATTTATAAATCGGTTCAAAAAATAATCTGTTTCCGCCCGGGATCGAACCGGGGGCCTTCCGCGTGTTAGGCGGATGTGATAACCACTACACCACGGAAACAGTTGTGGTGTATTTAATACAACTTATTGATTTTGAATTATTTTTAAAATTAAAATAATTAAATATATATATATTATAATATTTTAAATATATTTGATAATATATGTATACATATACATATATAATCGTTCAAATTTATTTTTTATCGCTACAGTTATTTCTTTGGGATCTAAAAATAATTATAATTAATATATGCATATTATATGTATTTTATTTATCTCTATACTTATATTCTTAATAAATCTAAATTATCAAATAAGATAAAACAATTGTTACTTTAAAAATTTGTTCAAAATAATATAAGTAGTGAACTATATAATAAGTAAAACTATATAAAAACTATATAAAAAGAAATAAAATTTAAAGATATAAATAAATTTAAAGATATATACATAATAGATGATTTTGTTTCGTGCTACATAAAATTATCTTTCATTCACTATAGGCTGAGCTATCCAAAACGGTAGCAAACTTATGCACAATATGTAATCGAATGAATGCATTCCAAAAAGTTGAAATTTAAAATTGCTTTACCCAATGAATAAAAACGAACTTACAAACTGCATTAATTATCGGGGGCTCAGTCTGTTACACATGAGGTAGTCTTCAAATAAGTAACTGGATCTTATAAGTGTAGGTTCACCATTGGCCAAATATTCGCAGCTCTTTAAATTCTGAAGAACACACAAGAAAAACAAATTGACATACATAATATATGCGTCGATTTCAGGACCTCTTCTGGTACTACTTGTGACACTACCACCAGTTCAATCAGAATTGGGAAGAACCTCTTCGAACTGTTCGGGACTAAACGAGATTTTCGACCAGTGACTTCTTGTCGTATCATTTCATTAATCCAATGATGAAAAAATACTCCATCAGATTTGAACCGAACTTAGCACAATATTTCACCAAATTATAATGCTACTTGTAAATGCTGTCAATACTAATATGATTGGCATGAACAACCACATTTTTCCCGCGACATTTTTCAACCAAGAAGAGCAAGAGTAGTAAATAGGTCCTGTGGTAGATGTGCACAAAGTAAAGTGCTTTCACAGAACAAATGTTCTGTGTTAGAACTCACGTCTCTATTGGCAACTATAAGTTCGAAGTTGTTAAGATCATGTTTATCAGGAAACCAACGTAATCGTAATGACGTAAGCATCTTACTAACACATATTATTCGACCTATGTAGGCAATTGAGTGATAAAATTTCGTATCTTCAAACAAAAATTACAGCCTATAGTTAAAGCTTCTCCTGTTACATGGTGCAAAAGCTTGGAGAATAACTACCACTGATGAGAAGGAGTATTAGGAGAGAAAAATTCTTCGGAAAATATATGGTGTTGTTTGTGTTGTTAATGAGTACCGAATTAGATAGAGCAATGAGCTGTATGAGCTATACAACTAAATCGACATAATGAAGCATATTAAAATTTGACGGCTTCGTTACTTTGCTATATGGTATAAATGGATAAAAAGGCTCTGACTACAAATGTGTTTATACAGTACGTTAACATCTTTGATAGTAGGGCCATTTGAATAATTATATAAAAATACTTAAAACTACTAACTGCCAACAGCAAAGCTGTAATAGTGCCGTCTAGAGAAAACTACAGGTTATCGCCAACTTACATCTGTAAAGACCAAACAAGTAAATCAGTAAGTTATAAATGACTGTGGCAGATGTTTATTATGCAAAGATATTTCCATTAGTGGTATCATCTATTATTGTGTAATCATGGCCATACCAAGTCATTTCAAATTATGCAATCCAAAAAGTATTAATGAAGCAGTATTTGGCGGAATTTCATGTGTCATATTTACATAGTAAAAGAAATTTTGTAAAAATATAATTAAAAGATCCTGATTCTGTCTTTTTTTATATTATATTATTTTATATTATATTTTATTTTATATTAAAGATTATTTATCTTTTCGTTTAATATTAAAAAAGGTCGAGATAATAAAATTTTATAGCCTATATAAGCAGAGAGCAAATACTGTAACTATTTAGGCAAAAATAATATTTTTTTTTAAAAATAATTATTATTATCTAAATCCAGACTGTTGACCTCATAAATATCTAAATTTCAATGCGGTAGTTTGATATTCGAATCCATTATGTTCTAAGTTCTAAGCAGCAATTGTGTGGTTGCGTTCGTATACACTAAAAAATCAGAATTTTTAGCTCAAAAACTTTTCGCGAGCCGATTCACGGCCCTTCAATAAAGTATATCCATATGAGTTCAATATTTCATATTTAAAATATATATAGCATATATTTATATTTATATTCTATATTCATATATGTTGATTGTAGCGGTCTCATAACTTCTATTGAAATAATATTTACATATTCCCACATCGTGTATGTTGTCTTCTTGTGTCTCAGTTATTGAGGTCTTGGGAATTCAGCTAAATAAAAACAACAAATTTCCAATCGAATGACGTGAGAATTGTTTCTTTGCTCGTAACTTCAATTTTAAGCGACATTTTCATAAAATTGACTTCACAATAAAAAAAATTATTTGTGTGTATTGCTGCAGAAGAAATTCAAGAATTGTAGGGCTTTTTCCATACAATTCTAACTCATTTGCATACGTTTCCATGAGATTGAATTTGCTGTCATATAAATTTTGAAGCAACTTTATTGCATATATAAATGATGCGTAACAAAAAGTTTATAAGGCATTTTCTTCTGATTTCATACGCTGTAAAATGGTAATAATTTTGTCATAAAAATTGAAATATGACAAAAAATTGTTGTGTTTACAGTGGTTAAGGGATATGTAAATTATGATATAGTAATCATAAAAGATAGAGAATAATTTGACGCTTACTTTCAAACTCTATGAAAACTCTATCAGTTTTCATATAGTGCAATTTAACCAAGTAATTAAAAAAGCTTTAAAAAGTCTTTAAAAAAATGATACAAAATTTGTTTATGTGTACGGAGAATCCATCAAAAGGTTATAGTTATTTATTGAACTTTGAGGAGTGATGTATTCATGAATAAAACACAAGTTTAATTTGATATAAATCAAATCTAATGCAATCTTATAAGTCTGGTTTTGTTTTCAGAACAGCAAATAGCCTACTTCATTTTTAAGTTAAGTTTTTTTTACGTTTATTTTACAGTGCACTGTCAGAACCCCTATAATGATTCTTAAATTATTTTTATTAGTTGTATACAATTCTTAAATCGTTTTAGGTTAATAGTTTTCTTAAGCACTTTTATTTGTGATAGCCTTGGTAGATTATCTCACTATAGTTTTCTTTTTTCTCTTGCTCTTACTGAATGGGTGAAAAAACATAACCTCCTGCTAAGTCACAGAATAGTTCCAGGCCTACAAGCACAACGGCTGCCCCTTTCCTGGCAAGAATATCTGCAATGTCGCTGCCAAAAATTTATATCTAATATCTAATAGTTCATGGATAAGGACATCAGGTTTTCGAAACCTTCCATCATCAGTCTTGATGTTTACCTGATGAAAATTGATTGAGTTTATAGCTGACATTATTAGTTAGGATAACTACTCTATGCTTCTGATAGTTACGTTCAGGGTTAAACTACTTACACCTATCACACAAATTACGGCTTAAAAGATATTTGTGTTTTTACTTAACATTTCCGAGTCTTTCCGAGTTTATACAAAACTCAATTTAAAATGATATCTAGATATATATATATATATATGGCCCTAAAAAACTCATTGAGTGAATATAATTTGCAAAAATAACTTCTGACTATTTTTAAAATTTTCATTATTCTTTAATTTTTATTCATGCATATTAATCAGAAAATCTTTTCCAATATTTGCCAATCAATTGCCACAAACACAAATTGTCCATTTTCCTGTCCGGAAAGGAATTTTAAATTCAAGTATAAAATAAAATTCCAATTGAAATCTGTTACAATGAGTGTCTCCGCCAGAGACTAATACAAATTTCACACCAAACTCACAAATATAATGAATTTTAAGGGAAGGGACAGAAAGGTTGTAACAGAGGAAAAAGGCTACATTTCATTTTATTGAAAAGATGTGCTACGGATGTATCCGATTTTCCACAACTACTACAATACAAAAAGTCGCATTTCCATTTTGATTTTATAAGACAGCTTGTAAAAAGAATGGACCGCACTTGAGTTTAAAAATAATGAAAATGAAGTGTATTCAAAATAAAAATAAAACCTAAAAAATGCAAAATATTTCAAACTGACTCCTCAGTTCATATAGAAACAAATTGTTCAAATAAACTGTCACAGATTTTTAATTTAAGCCATTTGAATATAAAATTGAGAATAACAATAA